ACAAAATAAGGTCTAAAATGACGATATTTTTTTTTAGATGCGTGTTTTCTACGGCTGACATTGAGCCTGCTAAAAATTCAAAACACGTTTGCATCGTAAATATTTTACATTTACGGGACCAGGGTCTGGTAACTCGATTTCAAATGTGGGCTCACAAAGAGGCTAAGAATTCGCCCCGTGGACGAGTATTAAGAGCGCAGGTGCCCGTGCGCGCGCACGCTTAACAATCGAATTAATGTTTAAAGATTTATCACGCGTATATCCGGAGAGAGAGGCGCGGAAAGCAATTAGGGCAGGCGTGCGCCGGTCGCCAATTTGTACGGTTTACGTCGTTACGAACGAATAAATCCCAGGGCCCGTCGCGCGCTGTCGTTACTGCGAAGATTAGATTAACTGTCTCTTCATTTCGCGAGCAGAGACAGTTATTACCCGCCGCAGGGCGTCTCGCGCCGAGAGTAATCGTCCGATCGTGCGCGTTCTCCGTCCATAAACGTTCCGCACGGTGAGACATCCACTTCCTTCTCGATTCCCTCAACCTCGCGAGCCGCGATTGCACGCCGAGGCTTACGGGTTTTACAGCTTACGATTAAAAGCGATGCCGCTTTCGGAGAAAGCGATGCGTCTGTGTGTGCCGGCGTTTCCCGATAACGTGCGACTCGAGACGCGAATGCGGTTCTATTAAGTGCGTCATCCGTATGCTATTGATAGGTACCTAATTACTTTGACGCAAACGCGTCAAAGTAATCATCTATCTAATAATAGAGGTAAATTCAGTCTTTTCGCATGTTGCTTGAATGTATACTTAAATGTATAAATATTAGAAAAATTAGATAGTCAAACAGTACTCAGAAAATTAACCGCGCGATTGTGTTTCTAAAACTTTCTCAAAACTTTTAATTTGTTTGTGGTCCATTCCCTAATAAAAATATCCTAGGTGATATTCGGAAAATGATTATTCGATCGGGGATATTAATCGTGACTTCGGATAACGGGATCGTGCCTGAGTACGTGGTATACACACGAAGATGTATGATAAGACACGGGTCTCCATATTGGCCGCTGTGTACTCTTCGCGGGCGGAATGTTCGCGTCTCTATTAAACTCCGTCTTCAATCCTTTATTTGCAGTCAGCTATCAGCTCGCACAGTCGGCACTCAAAAGGATTGGTCTCCAGACATGACTGCACGCGCGATCGATCGCGGACGTATAAATTGTCTTAGAGAGCTATGATACCTCTTCTTTCAACCCGAATCTTCCATCCGGAGATAGGATTTTTTGCAAACTACTTCATTTACAGCACTAAATATCTCGGTGACAACAAACTCCCAACTTAAAATCCGATTAAAATCAAATCACGTGAAATTAAGCACAAGACTTCGTTATACAGTTCCGTCTCTGTAGCTGATTTTGCAAATTAAAATCTTCTTACTTTTCATCGTTTTTAATTTAAACGTTGAATAATTTTAATTAATGTCGCGGACATCAAGACGATCGGCCTGTATTTTATCATCTTGTGGATTACGATATATATCAACGATCATATGACGGTAGATTAATGATGCGCAATCGAGGATAAAGTACTTCTGGCTACATTACTTGATAGTTTTAAATTCAACGAAAATAAGTGCAATATTGAAAAATATTGAGATATTTCTTATTCTGATTAACAAAGTAATATCTATCTGGAGAACTGAGAGGGACCGCCCAGCTCCTCTTCTCTTTTCCTCTGCACTCGCCAGCGCGAAATGTGGAGTCGCGTCGGCCGTACGCGCGCGACTTCTTATCACCGGCGCGTTCAATGCATAAAGCATAAAGTTCGTATCTCATGCATACATTCATAGAGCCGTCGGTGCGGCAGCGATGGCGGGAGCGAGACGAAAGTCATAACTTACGGTGCGTCCCACGCCTCACCGTCCTCCCTCTGGCTCTCCGTGGCACACGTACCCCACCCCGTAACCGCGGCCGTCCCGTTCTCGGGAGTATCGAAACACCCACAAAATCACCGGAGGGTGACTGAGGCACGTATGACGGCTGGCACTCCTCTCGGAGGTACTCCGGTGCGCTCAAAATTCCATTTTCCAACGGAAAAATTCCATTTTTCCATCGGGGGCCCCTCCTTCTTTCTCTTTCCCTTCCCCCGCGCTCTCGACCGATTCATTGAAAAATAGTCCACTTACCGCGGCCTCTTTTTGCGATAAATCAATCGCGCCTTTCCGACTGTGCCCCATATAACCATCCCTTTCCGCTCTCCCACCCCTTCCATCTTTCATTTTTCTTCGACGCAGCCCTCTTCCTCCGGGCGCGCCTCGATGCACCGGCCGGTGGGCTGGATTGTCTTCCGAGATGACTACTGACAAATAGCGAATCGATCCGTCGCCACCGCGCATCGGCCGTTACGCCATAAAGCTGCCGCAACAAAGCGTCGTTTTGATGCTTTATGGGCATCGCGTCGCATCGCCGGCCGTTGGCGGGATGACGTTGTCGGAATGGATGTATGTACGTGGCGGCTTGTATTGGCCGTTCAGAGAGAGAGAGAGAGAGAGAGAGAGAGAGAGAGAGAG